AAGGTTCACGGGTACTGAGAAGCAGGGTTATAATTATAATTCAAGTACCCTTACGACACGGAAGGTTTGTTAACCATAGTTACGCCTAATTTGAACCTTTTTACTTATACTTACAAGAATGAGCCTCCAAGTCAGGCCCTAAACCCTAAACCCTAGCCCCTATAAAACCCGAACCTCTGAAAACCCTAAACCCTATAGACCCTTATCCACGTACCCACATGACAAGCAAGCCGTAAACCCTAAACCCTAAACCCTAAACCCTAAACCCTAAACCCTAAACCCTAAACCCTAAACCCTAAACCCTAAACCCTAAACCCTAACCCTGAAACCCTAAACCAAGCTTCAGTGAGCATGCTCTCTGGGATGTCCCCAAGAAGGCGGCAGGCTTCCTGCCACTGCCGGCAGGCCCCCAAGGCTTTCATCATCTCCTGGGCTGGTTGGTTACAAAGACGGTTTAGGGTTTCGGGTGTAGGGTCTAGGGTTTAGGGTTCAGGGTTTAGGGTTTAGGGTTCCTAAACCCCTGTGAAAAAATCTCCCAACAAAGATCTCCTGAACTTAAGAGGGCTTTAGGGCTTCGGCGGTTTTAAGGGTTTTAGGCTAGTTTATGTAGATCCTCTCAGCTTAAGAGGGTTTTAGGGTTTAGGTGGTTTAGGGTTCTAGGGTTAATCTCTGTAAAGGAAAATGAAACAGATCCCAGGGCCCTACCTAGTCTCAGCGTAGGCCCCCTGGGGAACCTGCTGGCGCGACAAAACCGCCAGCAATCTCAGAGCTTTCTCCCACATACCCAGCCGGCAGTGCACGGCAATGCTGCCTTCGTTCGGATCGACCTCGACCTCGGCACTCCTCATGAGTTGCAGCAGGGCTGGGATGTCAGGGACGCCCTTCGCATTGCGGCGAAGGCCGGCCAGGAAGTGTTGATAATTCAGCTTCACGCCCCGGGCATGCATCTCCTGTAGTACAGGCAGCAGCAGAGCGGAAGGGAAGCCCTTCTGCTTCTTCAAGAACTTTCTGGCTTTCGACGGATCTTTGCGCCACTGCTCGAATTTTAATGCACCGCGGAATCCATCCAGCAGCTCGCAGACCTTCACGGTCTCGGGGTCGAGCCCTTTTGGAAGGGAAATTTGCCGGGCGCGCATGCTCTGCAAAAAGTCGCAGGCTGTCGACCAGTAGTTCCTCGGCACAGCAGCAACGATGGCACAAGGCGACTACTCTGCTACAGTGAAGTGCCTAGTGCTCTAGCTGCCAATTGAAAGCACGCACAACGACCGTAGCGAACCAAGGTTCATATCTGCACACGCCCCGATGGCTTTCGCGTAAGTGCTGCCATCTGGCTGAACTTTCCCTTTTGTCATCAGCTCGAAGATCTTCTTCATGTCGTCCGGATCCGACCCGCCAGGGTGTGCCAAAGCCGCATTAAGATGGGCGGCTGTGAGCTGCACTCCATTCCTCAACATCTCTCTGAGCACCTGCCTCAGCTGAATCGCGTCCATGTCCAACTCAGCCTCCAAGTAAGACACAGCCTGCATCGGATCTGCACGCCACTCCTCCAGCGTTTCCACCTCGAGGGCTTGGCAAAGTAGTGCTTTGGGGGTTAGTGCACTCTCCTTCAGCTGCTTCGATATTCTGAGGCTTGGTTGGCAGGCTGATGCTTCAGGGATTCGGGGTCAGAGCTCTGTTCCATGGGATAGGGTTCAGCCTCCTGAGCTATAGCAGAGGTACAACCGTTTAGCCGGTGGCCTGAAGCAAGCAGTCCTCATCCAGATTGGCCTCGGCACCGAATTAACAATGTACGACAAAACACAAGGTGTGCACCTATACATAGGTGTATATATATACATACATATACATATATACATACATATACATATATACATACATATACATATATACATATATATATATATATACATATATACATATATACATATATACATATATACATATATACATATGTACATATATACATATATACATATATACATATATACATATATACATATATACATATATACATATATACATATATACATATATACATATATACATATATACATATATACATATATACATATATACATATATACATATATACATATATATGCAATGACATATACAAACATTAACAAGCAACATATATGTATATGGTCTCGGGCTCCTGGGCCCTACCCACCCACCCACCCACCCACCCACCCCCCCCACCCACCCCCCGCCCCCCTCACAACCTCCGATATCAAAAAACGATGGTGACTCCCCCCCCCACCCCCCCCCCTCCCTTCCCCCCCCCCCCCCCCCCGTCCCCCCAAACCCCAAACCTCTCCCCTAAACCTTAAACCAACCTTGAACCTCACACCCTTAACCTAAACCGTCAACCAAACGCCATCCCCCCATTCACAGCACTGGCAGGCCGGGGTGGGGGGGGGGGGGGGCCTCAAACCCGAAACTTATGTAAACCCTAAACCTCAAACCTCAAACCTTAAACCCTTTATAAACCCTAAACCCCAAACCACACCCAGGGGGGTCGCAGGGTAGCACGGGCGGCCGGTCTCTTAAACCTTCAACCCCAAATCCTAACCCCAAGCACCGAATCACACCACGGGCCTAAACCTTATAAGACTCTAAACCCCGAACCCTAAACCCTAAACCTTAAGCCTTGAACTCTAACCCCCCAACCACACCCACACCGCGGGGGTTGGCCCTAAACTTAAACCTTACACCCTAAAACCCTAACCCCCCAACCACACCCACACCAGGGGTCGTGGGGGTAGGGATCCAAGGGAGGATGGACGGGGATACCATGGGCGGTGGGGTGGGGGGGGGGGGGGTGGCAGCCCGAGACCAGTGGCCTTTCGCAAGAAGTCCTCATTCGGATCGACCTCGGCACTCCTCATGAGCTGCAGCAGCGCTTCGGTCTCGGTGAAGTCGTTCGCACAGCGGCCAAGGCCGGCCAGGAAGTGTTGATAATTCAGCTTGACGCCCCGGGCATGCATCTCCTGTAGTACAGGCAGCAGCAGAGCGGAGGGGAAGCCCTTCTGCTTCTTCAAGAACTTTCTGGCTTGCCGAGGCTTTTTGCGCCACTGCTCGAATTTTAATTCACCGCGGAATTTATCCAGCAGCTCGCAGACCTTCAAGGTCTCAGGGTCGTGCCCTTTTGGAAGGGAAATCTGCCGGGCGCGCATGCTCTCGAGAAACTCGCAGGCTGTCGACCAGTAGTTCCTCGGCACAGCAGCAACGATGGCACAAGGCGAGCACCCGGCCATAGTAACTGGTTCTCTCCAACTCTTCAAACTACAGACAACGGGTACACTGTGCTACTGTAGCGAACCAAGGTTCTTCTCTGCGCACGCCCCGATGGCTATAGCGTAAGAGCTGCCATCTGGCCGAACTTTCCCTTTTGTCATCAGCTCGAAGATCTTCTTCATGTCGTCCGGATCCGACCCGCCAGGGTGTGCCAAAGCCGCATTAAAATGGGTGGCTGTGAGCTGCACTCCATTCCTCAACATCTCTCTGAGCACCTGCCTCAGCTGAATCGCGTCCACGTCCAACTCAGCCTCCAAGTAAGACAGAGCCTGCATCGGATCTGCACGCCACTCCTCAAGCGTTTCCACCTCGAGGGCTTGGCAAAGTAGGGCTTTGCGGGTTAGCACACACCCAGTCTCCTTCAGCTGCTTCGATATTCTGATGCTTGGTCAGCCCTGACGCTTCAGGATTCGGGTTTAGGGCTCCGATTTATGGGGTAGGGTTCAGACTCCCGAACTATGGCAGAGGCAGAACCGTTTCACTGGTGGCCTGTAGCAAGCAGGACTCCGGATTGACCTCAGCGCGCCGGCCGGCCCCCGGGGCTTTCAACATCTCCTGGGCTGGCTAGTTCTTAACTCAAGAGGATTTGGGGTTTGGGTGGTTTAGGATTCAAGGGCTCAAATCCGTAAAGGAAAAGCAAAGCAGATCCCAAGGCCCTACCTAGTCTCAGAGTAGGCACCCAGAGCTTCCATCCAGCCTTCTGCAGCGGGGGCATTCTTCGGCACCAAGCCGGACAAAAGCTGCAAGCGTCCAGTCCTCGCACCTTGAGACTATATGAATCTTGAAAAAATGAGCTAAGACTTAAGCTTTATTTCTAGATCCTCAACGAGCTTACGGCCATGGCCCGTTATACTTCAACAAGGATTCGGGTAGCAATAAGAAGACCCCAGTTTTAGGGCTCAAGGAACAAGCCGTGGCAGCTGCTGTGTAGATCTCCTTCCTGGTAACAAGCCTCGGTTTGCCGGGGGCTTGCGCTACAACCGGTACACCCTTCGTCACGCCGTCACGGAGGCCTCAGACCATCTTCTCAAAGTTATATCCGAAATAATTAGTGCTTGAAGCGTCTGGTCACGGTTTGACTACGCAACGCATCAACCAGCAGACATATGCGAAGCACAGTACACTTCGTACCTGAAGGGTAAGAAGCATGTCAGTGCCATACTGTTCCCACATAGGAAACAGCTGAAAACCGCAAGGCCAAACAGAACAGGCCCTACAGTCTGCTATGCCTCAAATACTTTTTCAGACCCCAAAGATGAAAATGTGTCCCCTTACAAGGACAATGTAGGGATTGTTATTCTTTAATTTCTGGGAGGGTTCTTCAGCAAGTAGTAGTCAAGTACCTACTATCAAGCGCGCTTTTACTCCCTGTGTACCGCAGTTAGGGGGTGTCGAACTGCTCGTTTCCCCCCACGACGCCGCCCACCCAAATCTCCTGCGGCATCCAAGCCCCATGCCCTATACAGTTTTGGCTTTCCAACTACCTGGAATCATCGAAGGCGCATTCGCCTGTCGACAATGTCTTGGAGGAGGTCACAAGCAGCATGCCAGGACGCGGCAGCATTGCACGCAGACGATGCCTGCAGCAAACCCAGACCCCAAGCCCTACAAATAAAGCTTCGAATCAACCGAGCCGACTCAAACATGTACGACGAAAAAGTGTGCACACATGTATATATACACATATATAGATACATACAAACCTACATACCCTGGTTGTTGGCCTGAAACAAGAAGTCCTCATTCGGATTGACCTCGGCACTCCTCATGAGTTGCAGCAGGGCTCCGATCTCGGTGAAGTCGTTCGCGCTGCCGCGAAGGCCGGCCAGGAAGTGTTGGAGAGTCAGCTTGACGCCCCGGGCGTGCATCTCCTGTAGCACCGGCAGCAGCAGAGTGGAAGGGAAGCCCTTCTGCTTCTTCAAGAACTCCATCGCTTGCTGCGGCTCCTCTCGCCACTGCTCGAATGTTAATGCACCGCGGAATCTATCCAGACTCTCGCAGACCTTCAAGGTCTCAGGGTCGTGCCCCGCCGGAAGGGAAATTTGCCGGGCGCGCATGCTCTGCAAAAAGTCGCAGGCTGTCGACCAGTAGTTCCTCGGCACAACGGCGACACTGGCACAAAGCACAAAGCGAGAACCTAGAAACCAGTGCTCTCGAACGTTAAACCACAACGAGTACACTGTGCTACTGTAGCGAACCAAAGTTCTTCTCTGCGCACACCCCGATGGCTTTCGCGTACGAGCTGCCATCTGGCCGAACTTTCCCCCTTTTCATCTGCTCGAAGATCTTCTTCATGCCTTCCGGATCCGACCCGCCAGGGTGTGCCAAAGCCGCTTTAAAATGGGCGGCTGTGAGCTGCACTCCATTCTGCAACATCTCTCTGAGCACCTTCCCCAGCTGGCCCGCGTCCATGTTCAGCTCAGTCTCCAAGAAAGACAGAGCCCGCATCGGATCTGCACGCCACTCCTCAAGCATTCCCACCTCCAGGGTCGTGTTGAAGCCAGAGGGCTTAGGGTTTAGGGTTTAGGGTTTATCTCTGGCTTTTGTGCTTTGAGGTTCCAATCTGCTTTTCACAGTCTCCTTCTGCAGACTTATGGTCGAGCAGCACCTCCAGGGGAAGCTCCTCAGCCTCAGCTTGTGCCTGGGCGGCTATGGTTATACCTAGGGTTTAGGGTTTAGGGTCAGGGTTTAGGGTTTAGGGCTATATCCCTACATAAAAGTACCCATGAGCCTCCTTGTAAGGGCGGGAGAAGAAGGGATCCCAAACCAGAGAGTGCAGCTGCATTGAGCAGGAAATGACAATGAAACCCCTGTGGCCATGGATGTACTTACAACAGGGTTTAGGATGTAGGGTTTAGGGCTTAGGGTTTAGGGTGTAGGGATTCACAAACTACAAATAGATGGGAATGTTAAGGGGACATCCACCTCGGTATACCTTGCTATACAAAAACAAGAAGATTTTGTTCTGCACCCTAAACCCTAAACCCCTAACCCCCTAAGCCCGTAAACCCCTAAACCCCTAAACCATTTTGCGTTTACTTGGCGAAGAAACGGATGAATACTGTTTACGTACATGGAGAGCTTCCGGTACAACATGACAATGCTTTCTTTGACCACAAATGCAAGCATGCAGCATACACGAACACAATTTATATATCAACATATGCATTGACGTTTGTGACGGAAGTCTCACACAGATGTCGGTGTGCACATATAAATTGAGACACAAAGGTCTGTACGTAACCCCCAACCCCAAACCCTGAACCCTAAACCCTGAGCCCTAAACTATAGACCCTAAACCCTAAACCCCAAACCCTGAGTCAGGACACAGGTTGGTCTTGTGCTTGCTGCACAAGCTTCAAAGCAGACGACCACGCCTCTGCTTGCCTTGGCTGCTTTTTGTGAAAGCTGTTGAGGTTCCCTTTGGCTTGGAAGGAGGGACTGCAGGGTTTAGGGTTTAGGGCTACGGTTTAGGGTTTCTTGACCCAGCTCTATGTTCCGACCCCCGTCCCCGTCCCCCATCCCCCTCTCCCCGCTGTGCCACCCCTGCCTCGACCTAGACCCTAACCCTAAACCCTAAACCCTAAACTCTAAACCCTAAACAAACCCTAGCCATTTCTTAGACCCAGGTGCTGGCAGGCGTTGATAGCGTTGCCCAGCGCGACGTCGCCTCCGTCGATCTGCAAGTGTGCCATTTGATCCAGGAGCTGCTTGATGTCCTGGGTTTAGGGTTTAGGGTTTAGGGTTTAGGGTTTCGGGCTTCGGGTTAAGAAACCGAGTGTTTTAAACCCTGAACCAACCCGAGATTCCGTCCACTCGGCTCTACCAACATGGGCCATCGCTGCAAAGAAATGCTGGCGGTTGAGCTTGACCTGACGCCTCTCCATCTCTGCGAACAGCGGCGCCAGCCTTACTGGCAGGTTCATCTGAGTACTCATAGGTAGGGTTTTAAGTAGGGTAACTGTGGCCATACCCTGACTTCGGGTACTTATCACCATACTTATAAGTAACCATGCACCTTCCAGTGCCGGGTGTTGAGCGTTTTAGGGTTAGAGTTTTCACCAGCAATGCCGGGCTCAAAAGGTGCTTTTTTAAATCTTAATTGCTGGATTTGTTTAGGGGTTTGTGGGGGTAGGGTTTTGCCAGCAGAGAGTAGCAGAGCTGCTGCTCTAGTTGCAGAGAGCTATCTAATGCTTAAGTGTAGCTCGATGTATCATCTCGCTCTATCACATCAACAAGCAAATCACGACGGCATAGTAGAGCTCTTACCATGCTAGTGGAGTAGCTACCTTGAGCTTCAGTGGTCGTAGCAGCTGACTGGCTCAGATTTCTAGGTGGCAAGACAAACCTGAGGGCTATAGTCCTAAACCCTAAACCCTAAACCCTACACCCTAAACCCTGAACCCTGAACCCTGAACCCTGAACCCTGAACCCTAAACCCTAAACCCTAAACCCTAAACCCTAAACCCTAAACCCTAAACCGTAAACCCTAAACCCTAAACCCTAAACCCTAAACCCCAACCCCCCCGAAAGGTTACCGACTTGCGCCGAGGCGTCAGATCTGATGTCATGTTGAAGTCCTTCTTGAGGTACCGTACTGCCTCTCAGGAAACCCTAAACCCTAAACCCTAAACCCTAGACCCTACACCCTAAGTTCGTGGTTTTGGGCGTTAGGGTTTAGGCTTTCAGCTTTTGTGTTCGGGGTTCAGAGGTCTTTGGGTTGAGGGCTCGGAGCTTTGGGCTCCGGGGCGCTTGGCGAACTCATTTTAGGGTTTTTGGGTTTTGGGTTTGGGGTTCGGGTTTAGGATGTCCACTCCTGCCTGTGTAGGGACCTAATCTTTTTGGTTCCTGCTGAAGAAGCAGAGAATGGAACTCGGTTATCTGTATAACCCCTGGCTACTGAAATTGCGAGGCTTGCTTGCGAACAGGGACTCTCTGAAGTCTAGTCCCCTTACTGGTACCCTAAATATTAGAGGCCGCAATACAAAAAGACTGGATTCAAAAAGGACCCATGAAAATCCGAGAGCTGAACACATAGACTCCCTTCTATATAAACCAACACACTAAACCCTGATCTCTAAACCCTACAGCATGTGAGCTTCTTGGGTGTCGGATGAAGGTGCCTTGGGCTGAGGCTTTTTAGGGTTTGGTGGGCTCCTTGTGGTGGCTTCCAAAGAAACGGTGTCCCCTTCTTGGGGCCCCCTTTTTCGGGCGATTCTACTGCATCTGTGGGTAGAAAAAGCTTATGGGCTGAATACCCTAGTCCAAAAAAGGCTGACCCGTTAGATATAGTAGGATTCTATATAACCAAAAGGTTAAAGGTTCCCTACCCAGACCCTACGAAGCACTACGGAGGGCTATAAGCAGGAGAACTATGGTCACAACCTCAAATAGGGTGCAACTAACCCTCAACCATGAACCCTGAAGTAGAAAAGCCCTAAACCCTAAACCCTAAACCCTGAACCCTAAACCCTAAACCCTAGACCCTGAACCCTAAACCCTAAACCCTAAACCCTAAACCACTGTCTTGTCGGTCCTGGCCAGAATCCTTCTGCCATTCCTGCAAGCGCGGCTCGAGAGACTGTAGTGCTGCTGGCAGCGGGGCGGCCATGGCTCGGCAACGGGTTTAGGGTTTAGGTTTAGGGTTTGAAGGCAAAAGGGTGGCCTGAGTTGAGGGTGTTTATATCCTCGAAGTTTCACGCGTAGGGCCTTCCTCCTCTGGCGTGCTTTATTCCACGGCTGCTTAGGGTTTAGGTTTTCGGCTTAGGGTTTAGGGGTTAGGGTTTGGGGCTTGGGGTTTGGGGTTTAGGGTTTGGGGTTTGGGGCAGCCTCCTTCGTGCAGCCTTCAAAGCCAACCCCTCGAGCCTGTGATGGGAGGGATGTGTTCGGAGTGCAGGTTCCCAACGACTAAACCCTGTGGGCCCCATACCCTAAACGTACGTAACCCCTATTCATAAACCTAAACCCAAAACACACCGGAACTGGCCACCCGCCACTCAGTTTTACCTTAAGTGCCCATGATTTAGGGTTCCGACAAGAATGGAACCATTGTTGGCTCAACCCTACTTAGATCAACCCTCACGCATCGTGTCCTGTCACGACAGTGTGAAGTCCCTTGGTACCTGGAACATTGTACACCAAAAGCCTCAGTCCTCAATCCTTAAGCCACGCCCCCAAACCCGACACCCTCAAACTCTACACCCCAAACCCGAAAACTCCACACCCTACCTCAATCTCTACCCCCCGTATAACCCCATAACTCCATACCTAGACACCATCAAACTCTGCACCCGCCAAGCCCTCCAACTCCACACCCCGAACCCTCAAACTCTACAACCTACCCCTCAACCCTAACCCTAAACCCTACACCCAAAGCCTCCCCTGACAGAGACACGGGCGCAGGGTTCGCATTCGTTGGCCAGAGGTCCCTTAGGAGGGGTTAGGGTTACGGGCTTGGGGCTTTGGTTTCAGGGCTTATCCCAAGCAACTAGGATTTTGCGAGCTTAGCTTTGCAGGTTCAGGGCTAGGAACTTCACAAGTTGGGGAGGTTAAGGGCCTTAGACTCACCTGTATCTGTCTCACTTAGCTATATATGTGCCCCTCAACTCTGCTACACGTAGTCGATCCCAGGCCCAGCTCCAGGAGCTCCCTTTCAGCACGCTTCAGACTTGCAGTGCCCGAATACCTGGGACCTGATGCCCCCAAAACCTCAAACCTTCTGTCCCTGAGCAAAGCTCTGAGCTCTCAAGCCCTATACCGATACCTCTTGGGGTAGTTACCCCTTGTCTACCCCTTACATACCTTATAGAACCTCAATGGCCCATACGTCAGAACCCTTTAAAGAAGGTAAGGGACCGTATAAAGGGACCATGAAACTACCCTTAGAATACCCGAAGCTCTAAAGCGCTATACCGGAAGCTTAGTCTCTGGCTCTTCTCCGGAGGCGGAAGGGTTGGGATAGCTTTCATCAGGAGCATTGGATCGGAAAGGGGCAACTTCCCAGGCTCCAGCCCAAAATTCCTCTAATTCCTCAATCCGGGAAGGTTTAGGGTTTAGGGTTTAGGGTTTAGGGCTTAGGGTTTAGGGTTTAGGGTTTACCCTTAATCCGAGACTCCTGAAGACCGTCCAATCCTTCACCCTGAAAAAGCCTGAGCAATACCCTAAACCCTTTCACTCTCAATGCGGAACCCAGGCACGTACCTCAATCCTCTAAACCCTCTGCTTGTTTCCAAGAAGGGCAACTATATGGCAACTATGGTTATTACGACTTATTAGGGTACCTAGAACCCTACTCATGAATCCCACGAACCTGCACGTGGAATCTTCACCCAGGGACCATGTTAACGGGACCATGCAACTTCTCTTCAAAGAAAAAACTAAACCCTAAACCCTACCCTACACCCTACACCCTACACCCTAAACCCTAAACCCTAAACCCTAAACCCCTAAACCCTAAAACCCTAAACCCTAAACCCTAAACCGTCCATCCTCAGGTCGCGGCCCGTTGCGGCGGGGAAGGAAGGTGATCAAAGGCATGGACTTGTGCTTCGACAGATGGGTCCTTGGGTCAAAAGAGTGCCGAAACCCTAAACCCTGAACCCTAAAACCGAAACCCTGAACCCTAAACCCTAAGCCCTGAACCCTAAACCCGAAACCCTGAACCCTAAACCCTAAGCCCACTGCATTTCGGCTTCAGAGTTGAGGGATTCTCAAGAACCCTGAAACAAAGTTTGTGGCTCAGACTCAAAGGCTTTCTTGGGGGGGGGGGGGGGGGAAGTTTTTTCTGTAGGCCAACCCTAAACCCTAAACCCTAAACCCTAGACCCTAGACCCTAAACCCTAAACCCTAAAGCACCACCCGATATCTTATAGGTCTTGGGGTCCATTTGTGTAAACCTTGCGCCCAAAATCCTCGACCCGGTCCCTTAACCTCCCTTATACTCACAATCCTTCATAGGGATTATAATAGGGGTACTAGAATCTCTATGAAGGGCTGTTCGTAGAAGGGGACCTCCTGAGGGTTTTACTTTTTAGGTACAAGTAGCTATACTAGGAACCCGGAAACAAAAACAGTATTAAAGTATAGTACTCCAAAACCCAGGTTTTGTGCTTGCTGGAGCTTCCACCCCCTCAGGCCCGTGCAGGAACTTTTCCCGCTCCTCTTCATGAGACTGGCCTTGCAGATTGCACATGAAGGGTTTAGGGTTTAGGGTTTAGGGTTTAGGGTTTAGGGTTTAGGGTTTAGGGCTTGGGTTTTGGGGTTTTGGGGTTTTCGGGTTTTCGGGCTTCCGAAATGAGGGATGCCCTATTCGGTCTCTGGGGTCCGTAGTATGTAGTACAAGGGGATCCGATGATGTTTGGGAGGTCTACTCTAGGGGCCCCTGATTATCGCAACCTCCCACGAGAGCCTCGCTGAGGGGCTTAGGGTCAACTCAGGGAAAGACTTCTGTTGGTCCACAAGGTGAATACCTCCCACGAAGCACTCAGAAAGATCTAAACCTATGAAGCCCAACACATTTGAGCTTCAGGATGGAGGCAGACTCGACCATATTGCGGAGGGAGGGAGGGGGGGAGGGGGGCAACCCTAAACCCTAAACCCCAAGCCTAAACCTAAGCCCTAAACCCTGAACCCTAAACCCTGTAGACACCGCGAGGATGAAGCGCCCATTTCTCTCCACCCCCATCAAACGAATCAAATTTCTTGTGTATCTAATTGCCTGGGACCCTCTTTACCTGCAGTTTATTTGTTAACACCTACTTATTCAAGGGGTAGTTGGCTACTAAACTGTAGGTGAAGAGGGTCCCAGGTGTATCTGTAGTTTGCACACATCGTACCCGGCAGTCGGACATCATGATAGTTATCTGCTTCTTGGAACCCCTAAACCCCTAACCCCAAACCCCAAACCCCAACCCTAAGCCCTAAACCCTAGCCCTAAACCCCAAACCCTAAACCCGAAACCCCAGCAGCTCTTTTCTTGCCCGTGCGAACCTGCTCCTCGCCAGGTTGACGAAGGCAGCTGCGTGAGCGAGGCGGTGCCATACCCCGCCTCCGTCTCCGAAACGCCAGGGGCGGTTTAGGGTTTAGGGTTTAGGGTTTAGGGTTTAGGGTTTAGAGTGTTAGGGTTTCGGGTTTAGGGTTTAGGGCTCCGTCGGGTCTGTAGGTGCTAGGCGTGGGAATATCGGTACTTTGGGCAAGGACTTGGAACCTTTCAGGGCTATTCTACAAGCTTGCAGACTCGACTTCGATCCTGCAAGCGGGGGGATGCCAGATTCTAAAACCCTAAACCCTAAACCCTCAACCCTCAACCCTAAACCCTAAACCCTAAACCCTAAACCCTAAACCGGAGGTTCGTAGTAGGGGGAAAGGGAATCATGCACCCAACGTAATCTCACAACCGCTCAAACAGGAATCCAGGGGACATAAGGTACCTGCTTCCCGACTTCCCTACCCAGACCTAATTAGCAAGGTTAAGCAAACAAGGTGTAGCCCTCCAAACCCCAGACCCTAAATCCGGAACCACATCCGAAGCGCGCAGAAGCCTCCCTCCCCCCGCCCCAAACTACCAACTCTGAACTCTAAACCCTAAACCCCAAACCCCAAACCCTAAACCCTAAACCCCAAACCCCAAACCCCAAACCCCAAACCCTAAACCCTAAACCCAACCTGCAGCTGCATCTCCAGAGACAGCGCCGTGTCGTCGAGGTTCGAGAAAGAGGCCCCGGCCTGGCTTCGGAATTTAGGATTTAGGGAGAAAAAAATCCCAAACCCTAAACCCTAAACCCTAAACCCTAAACCCTAAACCCTAAACCCTAAACCCTAAACCCTAAACCCTGCGTGTTTGGAGAGTAGGGGAGCCTGGGGTTCGAGAGGCATCGGGATGTTGAGGAATTTTCGTGCGTTGGGGCTTGGGGATGCTTGGCATGGTTTCGGGTTTAGGGTTCAGGGTTTAGGGGTCGGGGGGGGGGGGGGGGGGGGGGGGGTTGGGGTTTAGGGTTAGGGTTAGGGTTTAGGGTTTAGGGTTTAGGGTTTAGGGTGTAGGGTTTAGGGTTTAGGGTTTAAAGGGTTAAGGGTTTAAGGTTTAGGGTTTAGGGTTTAGGGAGCGGAGGGGGGCGGAGGGTGGGGGGATGGTGAGGCTTCTGGGCTCCAGGCTCAGCTTCAAAGCACTTAGGGGACCTGGGATGCCCAGTAGCCTGCCTTGGGGACCGAAATGGGTGGCTGTCAAAAGTATGATCCCTTTTGGGGTACCATAAATATTAGGTGCCATGTGATAAGAGGGATCCAGAAAAGGGACCATAATCTTGACAACCACCCATATGAACCCTAGAAGGGTTTGTGGTCCATGTCGCCTTAACATGAAGTAGAGTAGTCAAGGTATATGACCCAATTTGAGGGTGCATTTCGTCTCCAAGGTAGGATTGAAAAGGGGCTCCGGTTGCTTTTTGCTTCAAGGGGTTTATAAGGGAACCCAACCCCATGAATCCCGTTCCTGCCTGCTTCCGCTGAATTCCCCTAAACCCTTAGCCCTAAGCCCTGAACCCTAAACCCTCAACCCTAAACCCTAGAACCTAGACCCTAAAACCTAAACCCTAACCCCTAAACCCTAAAACCCTA